CCTAAAGACGATCCAGTGACTTGTCCAGACTACTTCAGGTGGATCCACAAGGATCTTGAACCATGGCTCGACACCGGAATCACTCGAGAGACGTTAGATCGAGCGAGTGARAAAGCTCACTTCAGGTTAATCATAAAAGGAGGAAAAGTCTATGTGCATCAATACAAGAAATCATATCAGACAAGAGATGTTTTCACTATATGGGGAATAGTACAGCTTCTAAGGATGTATCCTGGTCAAGTACCTGATCTTGAGCTTCTCTTCTTGTGCGATGACTTCCCTGAAATATGGAGAAGAGACTATAGACCAAGACCAGGAGTCAATGTGACATGGCCACCTCCTCCAGTCTTCCATTACTGTGGCCATTCGGGTGCTTTCGACATTGTATTCCCCGATTGGAGCTTTTGGGGCTGGTAAGTATTCGAGTTCTGTTTTAGCAAAAAAAAAAAAAAAGTATTCAAGTTCTCTTTGCATACAACTCACATACATGATTTATATGCTCACACAACTAACTATGGTTAGGCCGGAGATTAACATAAAGGAGTGGAACAAATTATCAGAGGCTATAAGTGAAGGGATTAAGAAGGTGAAATGGGAAGAGAGAGAGCCTTACGCATTTTGGAAAGGTAATACTGGAGTTGCTAAGATCAGAAAAGAACTCATGAAATGTCATCATGACCCTATGCTTCGTCTCTATAACCAGGTATATTTATATTTATTATATCTCTTTCATTATGATAAATTATTGATGATCTTGAGGATTCTATAAGCTTGATGAGTTGATGAAAATGTTTTTTCAGGATTGGAGAAGAGAGGGAAGAATTGGGTTTAGGACTTCAAACCTAGAAAATCAATGCACCCATAGGTTTTGATGAATCTTTTCTTGTTTCTTGAGTTTTTATATAGATGAATGAACAAAATATATAATATATAGTAATTTTGGGTGTTTTTTGGATAATGAAAGGTACAAGATTTATGTAGAAGGAAGGGCTTGGTCGGTGAGTGAGAAGTATATACTAGCTTGTGATAGTATGACTCTTCTTGTAAAGCCAMTTTACTTCGACTTCTTCACTAGAAGCTTAGTTCCAATGGAGCATTATTGGCCCATTAGACCTCGAGAACAATGTAGTGACATTAWTTTTGCTGTCCATTGGGGCAACAACAATACCCAAAAGGTAATCTATAACTTAGCAGGTCCTATGATTTTAGAAACTCCAAACAAACATCCTTTTTTGTTATGATCTTGTCTTGTTTTATAGGCAAAGACTATAGGGAGAAATGGAAGTGGATTTGTGCTTAAGAATCTACAAATGAAGTATATATATGATTACATGTTGTATCTGTTGCAAAGCTATGGGAAGTTAATGAAGATGGATATAGAAGTGCCTGAAGGAGCCAAGGAAGTGTGTCCGGAGACAATGGCTTGTCCGATCAATGGAGGTCGAGT